GCCAGCGAGTGTGTAGAAGGTAAAGCCCGCTTCTTTTGATATTAGTAGTTTCTTGATGATGTGTTTGGAGGAAGTTATTTGCAGGGTTTCAATTCTAAATTTTGGTGAGAGTGCTGTTACGGCCCATTAAGTGCCATTGTCTTCATTGATAGCTAATTTGGTTCCTCATCCAGCGTTGTCGTATGTATAGCCCCACATTTGCTAAATGAGGAGCCGATGTGGGTATATTAGAGATTTGAATTACTCCCTAGTCCTAGGTTTTGGGGCTACTTGGACTCTTAGAAGTTTGAGCCTTTGGTTGTCAAGTTTCGTCAAGTCCACAAGCTAAAATGATTTGAGAGTAAGTAAAGGTAGGAGTTCATCTGTCTGCTAGATAAAAGAGACCTAAATTGAGGGCATTGCACCTTTCCATACGTCTCGGTACCCTTTAAATTATAATTTCAAATGTGTTGTGGAAACTTTTCATGGGCAAGTTTTAAATCTGTCCCAATTTCAGCAAGCAAAACGACTTCAGAGGTATGAATTCGTAAGTTTTCTTGATATGGGGGACATAATAAACAAGGTTTGTTGTATAGTGTAGGTCTTATTAACAGGTAAGCTTATTTCAAAGAGGTTACGTTACAGTCAAAGCTGTGACGAGTTGGTTGTTCCTTACTTCCTTGTATCCACATTCCATTTTGCAATTCCTGTATTTTCTCTCAAGTTCATTGCGATTAGAGGTGTGGATCCCATCTGCATGTTTTTCCCCCATCTGTGTGTTTTGTTTGACCACTTTGTGGATCCTTATTTTTTTCAATTGAGCACCGAAATTTCTATTCCTTTTAATTCTTTTTGGGGTCCTAAGTTGTTTTCAGTCGTATAACATTCAATATCATTGTTATCCAACAATTTACCATTGAAATAGGGTTGTATGGAGTTTAATTTGAATTCTTCAAAGCTCCAAAATGATTAGATATTGTCAAATCAGTTATGAATGTGTTAGTTTACTAGCCAAGGACAGTATCAGAATTTCAGAAGGAAGAGCCTTAACATAAGAGGCTAGGTTGATAAGGTTGCAACTTGGATGTGTCAATACAGAAAGTAGTTTAATGCCAAAGCCAGTAAATGATTGAAAATCTTGACTTAGCTAAGTGCCAGTTAACCTCAGAGATATCGAACTTTTCCTGTCCTGATCCTAATTCATGTCAGGTCTGCTTTGACTTTGTTACCCCAACTCCTGTTTATTTGATTGTCTTCTGGAGAGAATCATTGAGGCAGATGGAAATAATGCTTGCATGTTTGAATTGAATATTAGCATCAACATATGATAAGGTGAGATCTCCCTATATTGGTGCTATGGCAAATTTATTTTGAGAATTTCAGTCACATGATCAAATTAGAGAGGAGAAATAATGGATGAAAAGATGCATTAAAGTGACTGGAGTGTTGGTTAGCATATAATTTATGTATTTTGATTTTGTAAATAAATATAATGAGTGTTTTATGTTGTAATGTTGCCCAACCAGTGGATACATTACATGAAAAGATAGGATAAAGATGTTGACACATGTACAAAGTTAGAGTTAATTTCAAATGCTAAGAAATCACAGTATATTGTGATGGTTTAGGCATGCTTGGACTGCAGGTAAACTGGAAAAGAATATCGGGAAATGGACATTCTATTTTATACTATCTGTACTATTATACTAAACCACTTGCTACTTATTCCACATGGCAATAAATCCTCCTTTTTCTCGCCTAAATTGACCACATAGTATAATAATCATATACGTCTGCGTAACTTGATTAGTGTGATACATAATATAATAAACGTGCAACCAAAAAAAAAGGTTTCAATCGACTGGACCAATTGTCCTCTTCTTTCGTTCTAGCCATTTGGATGGTACAAGGGACTGAATTTTCTCCTTGTAGGAAAAAGAAGACTGGTGTCTTGGAAATCAAATCTTGAGTTTTTGGTATTATGGCAAAAAGCTGTTTCAACTTTCCAAAGTCTGAGGTCTCGTTGAAACTAAACATTTGAGGTTGCTTAAAACTTAAATGTCACTAGATGAAGTAATTCATGGGCTCAATGCTAACTAAAAGGAAGATGGTTATTCTCCTGAAGAAGAAAAGCAGAAAAGTAAATAAAGTGTGAAAATTCACTCATAATCCTTTGCACAATTCCCACGTTACTTAATCCTTATTCCATGCATGTTTGCATGTTTGTTTTGTTCATTCTTGCTTCATCTTCCTGAGATCAACAGTTCTAAATTTTGTATGATTGACTATATGTTTATTTAGTTTTCTCTACTACTATATTTATTATAAATATATAAGTCATAAACATCGTTGTATCTGTACATGATATTCTTCCCTATAAGTATAGGTTGTGTTTATTTATTTTTCCAAATAGATGTTGAAACTTGTTCAGAAATATGATATATCCTTTTTTTATTTTTTTGACATGTCAATTTTGAGATGCTGATTGATTAATTTTTATTTTATTTTATTTAGTTTAACTAAAATTACGTAATTTGTCAATTTTGAGATGCTGATTGATTAATTTTTATTTTATTTTATTTAGTTTAACTAAAATTACGTAATTTGACTATTCAATCTGTGCATCTCTAATAATTTTATTTTATTTTATTTAGTTTAACTAAAATTACGTAATTTGACTATTCAATCTGTGCATCTCTAATAATTGAGACGAAATCAACATCACTGGAATGATATTCTTACACGAGCATATATTCCTTGTTTTTTATATGTTTACGTTGAAATAATGTTTTCTTGATGATTCAATTTGATAAATTTTCGTTCTCATGAATATTCCCATGCAAATAATTCTATGAAATTTATAGTGTAATTAATAGGACAAAATATACTGTCATTTTGTCATTGAAAATTGATACTTTATGTTGATTATTTTATTATTTCGTTAACATAGTGTCATAATCTAAACAAGTAAAAACAATATTAGTTGTACAATAACAAAAAGTTACGTTGTTGATTAAATCATGAGTTTTTAACATGCTCATGTGATAGGGGCAGATCTAAATGATGTGTAGGGGTGCAGATACACCCCTCAAAATTTATTAATTGCATGTAAGCTATTATAATATTTACAATCTGGCGGCCCCCCTCCCGCAACACAAAGAAAATTTTAAAAATTGCATCCTAACGTATCTGTAACAATAAATAAGTTAGTAGCAAATTAAATTAGCCCGTTGGAAAGTAAATATTAATTTA